TGGTACTTGTCTTTATGTTTCTGACTTATTTAACTTAGCATAATGATCTCCCGTTGTACCTATGTTGCTGCAAATTTCCAGTTCTTTCTTTTTTATGGATGAATAATATTCCATCATGTATGTATATACACAATAGTACAATGAAAACAAGAAATGTTACACTACACCCCATACCTATGTATAATTGCTGTCAATAAAATATTTTAACACAATTTTAAAAAGCATATTAAATCCACATGTGGAAATCTCTAGGACCAACCGAAGTCACACCTGAGATGCCGGTAGGATTCTCCATGCAGATCTCACAACACTTACATTGGAACACAGACTCGATCCTCAAACAATGGTCTTGAAGCCTGGACTAGCAGCATCCATACCAACTGCTTAATAATGCTAGATCCCTGGGCCCTTCCCAACCACATCAGAATCTGCATTTGAGCAAGGTTTCCAAGTGGTTGACGCACATCCTGAGGTTTGTGAAGTCTTGATCCTACAACAGTGTTTCCCAGCCTCCCTGACTTGATGTCAGTGCTATTAACGCCTTGTGTTGTGTGTGATCTTGTGCTTTCCCAACTTCATCGCTCAGCATGCCATTTTCTTCTCACTGTCGGAAACCATCAAACTTTCCTCCAGACATTTCCAGCTGTTTCCCAGAGGCACAAGCACCCCTTGGTAGGAAGCCACTGACCTAGAGCAAGAGAACTTGAAGAACTTGGTGGAATTCCCTGAGTTCATGACTTTTGAGAATACTCCCTTTCCAAGCCCAGTTTTTTCCCCAGTATGAAGCAAGTTCCCAAGGAATTTGAGTTCATGCAGTGAACATGGGTAAGAATTAAATGAGATAATCCTTATAAGAGTCTAACTGCAATCCATGACACACAAAAACATGGACATCTAAGTCTTATAATTGCCAGCTGTTTTATAAAGGAGGGCATAAGCATTTTCTCTTTACTTGTGTTACTGTAGTAACTACCCACAGTGTTACAGGGAATGAACACAGTCTTCTCCATGAGTGGAGAAAAAGCAGCAGAGATAGCCGTTTACAGCAGGTTATGAGAGCCTGGTTTGAGTCCTGGCTTCTCCAGTTCCAATGCAGCTTCCTGCTGATGTGCACACTGAAGGCAATAGGTGATGGCACAAGTACTTGAGTCTCTGCTGCCTACACGGAAGACAGCGATGGAGTTCCTGGACCCTGGGTTCAGCCTGGCCCAGCCTTGGCTGTTTCATGCATTTGGAGAGGGAACCAGCTGGTGGGAGATTCTCTCTCTGTCTCTCTCTCTCCATCTCTCTCTCTCTCTCTCTCTCTCTCTCATTCACATACACACACACACACACACACACACACACTTACATATCTCTCCATCTCTCAAGTAAAGTGAAAATAAATAATTTTTACAAAGAAGGAATAGCAGTTTGCTGATGATGTCAGGAACTATTTCCCCTCTGTCTCTCTACAAGACAGAGCCTGTATTCTTCCAAGAGATCTAGCATACACAGGTGCCTCACAATGGGAGAAAGCTTTAACTCGGGGCTGGGCAAATGTGCTAAGGAGGTTAGGCCTCCAGGGGACAGGGGATCTCACGGGGAAGGCAAAACCAAGCCTTGGTTCACCTGACTTCTAACCTGTCTCATGGGAAAAAGAGAGTGAATGGGATTTTCTTTTCTGCCCAGACTGGCATTCCACAGGGAAATTGGGTGTTCCAGGCTGGAGTGATAAGTGGAAATGAGCCGGAGGAGCAGAGACAGGGAGGGCTGCACACCTGCTGTCCATTGGCATGAGCATCCTTGGCATACATGGGACATGGTGATTGCTTCCGGAGTCCTGAGTCTGTCTCAGCAACCAACACTTCACTCCTTCCCCACTGCCTTTTCTGGAGCAGAACTCCAGTCTACATCATCCACCACCCGGGGAGGAATCACACTTCCAAGCGGACACCTTCCCCAGGTGAGTCTGAGAGCCCAGGAGGTACTGCAGGGCAGGTTCAGTGAGAACAGGAGTCAAGAGAACTTCGATGTCACTGTTTGCTTGCTTTAGTAATATGTAATTCATGTGTTTAATATGGGAAACAGAGAAGTGTCTTGGATTCTGTAATGCATAGATCATTGTTTTTTGAAGGTTCCTTTATTTGAAAGGCAGAGGAGAGAGAGAGAGAGAGAGAGAGAGAGAGAGAGAAATTTTCCATCCGCTGACTCACTCCCCAAAAGGCTGCAACAACTGAGGCTGGGCCAGGCTGAAGCCAGGAGCCTGGAGTTCCATGTGGGTCTCCCACATGAGTGGCAGGAGTCTAAGTTCTTGGGCCACCTTCCACTGCTCTCCCAGATGCACTAGCAGGGAGCTGGAGCAGAAGTGGAGCAGCTGGGGCTTGAATTGGCCCTCTGATGTGGGATGCTGGTGTTGCAGGTGGCAGCTTAACCTCTCATGCCACACCTCCAGCAGCCTCCATACATCAGTCTTGACAATTATATGATGGAAATGGAAGTAACAAGTATTTCCTGTAAAATCAGAACATGTCCAAGGAGTTTTGCAGGAAGGGAGTGAGGGTTGTGGAAGGATGTGCAGCAAAGTAAGGGCATTTGTCCTTCGTATTTAAAGTGGCTGCAACTGAGCACGTCTCTGCATTCATCACAAAGATCAGACCCACAGGTTGCTACAGATGCCACCGTGCACCAGCAGCTCATGAGACGTGAATTCCACAGGGTCTCCTCTGATCCTGGGCATTCATGTGAATGATGTCAGTGTGGTTTGAGAAGTCAAGGAGCAAACCCAAGAGATCGACATTGCAGCTGTTTCATGGCTGCTGAGGCTGAGTAGGTTTTAGAGTCTGAGTCTTTGTCTTTCTCTGTGTGAAATTGGGCCAGTTCTTCACTTGTATGCATTGAGTCTGCGTGTTTTTATATTCTTATATTATATTTTATATTCTTCCACAGAAGGTAAATACCACTATTTTCTCTTTTGTGGAAATGTATGTGTTTGCATAGTTAAAAATTAGTGAGGATGCCATATTATTGCTCATGTAGACTTTTGTAAATGCAATATTCACTGAATTCTACTCTTCCATAATAATATTCCATTATTGCCCTCTTTTATCATCTATATCACTAATCCAACACTAGGTGATATTAATATATCCATCCCTGCTTTCAAAAAATGCTAGCTGTGTGTTTGAATATTCTGAGTATGAAGCAATTATGGAAAATGTTAAATATCATTAGAAAGTAAAGTCACCTGGGGCCGGCGCCATGGATCACTTGGTTAATCCTCCACTTGCGATGCCAGCATCCTATATGGGTGCCAGATCTGGTCTTGGTTGCTCTCTTCCAGTCCAGTTCTCTGCTGTGGCACAGGAATACAGTGGAGGATGGCCCAGATGCTTGGGCCTCTGCACGTGCATGGGAGACCAGGAGGAAGCACCTGGCTCCTGACTTTGGATTGGCGCAGCACCGGCCATTGCAGCCATTTGGGGAGTGAAACAACAGAGGGAAAATCTCTCTCTCTGTCTCTCTCCAACTGTCTATAACTCTACCTGTCAAATAAAAAAAAGTAAAGTCACCTTTTAAAAGACAAATAGAGAAAACACATAAATAAAAATTGCCCTACTCATTATATAATATCTATGATGGATCACCACCTCTATGTAAAAAAGTGTGACACAACAGCTGAAAACAGTATTAAGTTATAAAACAGGACATTTGTCGAAGTCCTTCAGGTTGCCAGATTGATTGACATTGTCTAACTTGATTGGACTGATCTAAGGAATTCTGCTTCTCTTGTTTTTTTCCTGAAGACTTACTTATTTTATCTGAAAGTCAGAGTTACAGCGAGAGAAGAGATAGAGATCAGGAGCCAAGAGTTTCTTCAGGGTCTCCGACATGGGTGCAGGGGCCCAAGTACCCAAACCATCCTCTGGTGCTTTCCCAGGCACACTAGCAGGGAGTTGGGTTGGAATTGGAGTAGCCGAGACTTAAACCAGCATCCATATGGGATGCTGGTGCTGCAGATGGTGGGTTAAATTGTGTTAAATTGTTGTCTCATAGTCCCAGCCCCACTCTTCTGTCCTAATCTTTTGTAACCTCAGCTGAACATTGTTAACTGCATTATGCTTGTCAGCCTGCTAAGAGGGACTGACCCTCCACCTTCATCCACAGGCTTTCTCCATATGTAGATTCCAAGCACTGGTAGAATTCGCCCTCTCCAAGAAAAAAAATTTTTGAAACCATTCTTTTTTTCTAACTTTTAACTTTGGGGGCTTTTTAAAAATTTTAAGTTATACAAGCTTCATATATTTCATATTTATAGATTTAGGTATATAGTGACACTTTCCCCCACACACTAACTTTTAATTTTATGCAAACATTTATATTACTGAAGGAAACCATTATTATCATTTACATTTTTACTTATTTAAGATAAGGAAATTTCATGTATTTTACATACACAGATTTAGGAACATAGTGATACTTCCAACCCTACCCTCCCTCTGCCCATGCTCCCACCCTTCCTCCTCCTTCCTCTCTTATCCTTTCCTTAATTTTTACAATGATATACGTTCTGTTTACTTTATACTCATCAGATTAACCCTACACTATGTAAAGAGTTCAACAAATAGTAAGAAGAAAAAGACACTGTTCCTCAACAGTAGAGACAAGGGCTGTAAAAAATCATTTAATCTCAAAATGTCAATCCTATACATTACATTTTTGATGCTCTGTTAGTTCCCACAGATAGGGAAAAATATATGTTAATTGTCTTTTAGGGACTGGCTTATTTCACTAAGTATAATGTTTTCCAGTTGCATCCATTTTATTTTAAATGACAGGGTTTCATTACTTTTACTGCTGACTAGTACTCATAATATATAATATATTCACTATATATATATATATATATATATATATATATCACTTTATTTATCCAGTCATCAGTTGATAGACTTCAGGGCTGATTCCATGTCTTAGCAATTGTGAATTGAGCTGCAAAAAACTTGGGGATACAGATAATTCTTTCATTTGCTGATTTCATTGCCTTTGGGTAAATTCCCAAGAGCAGGATGACTGGGTAATATCTTAGATATATATGCCGATTTCTTCCATAGTGCCTGCACCAGTTTACATCTCCACCAACAGTGGATTAGGATACTTTTTCCCCACAGCCTCACAAGCTTTTGTTGTTTTTTGATTTCTGTATGAGAGTCATTCTAACTGGGGTGAGGTGAAACCTCATTGTGGTTTTGATTTGCATTTCCCTGATGGTTAGTGATCCTGAGCATTTTTTCATGTGTCTATTGGCCATTTGGATTTCCTCTTTTGAAAAGCACCTGTTCAAGTCCTTTGCCCATTTCTTAACTAGGTTGTTTGTTTTGTTGCTGATGCGTTTCTTGAGCTCTTCATGGATTCTGGATATTAATCCTCTATCGGTTGTGTAGTTTGCAAATATTTCCCCCTATTCTGTTGGTTACCTCTTCACTTTGCTGTTTCATTTACTGTGCAGAAGCTTCTCAACTGGAAGTAATCCCATTTGTCGATTTTGGCTTTGACTGCCTGTGCCTCTAGGGTGAGCCCACAGTGGATGAAACACTCATCTGCCCTGCAACACACACTGCACAGTTCTCAGTGTGAGCACAGGACCCTCAGCAACGACCCACCCCAAGCAGTCTGAGAGCTCTGAGCCTCTGACATCAGACACTCAACATGGGATGTGTTGAGAGGACCGGGGCATCTCACAGCCCCCCATCAACCCTTCCAGCCAGAGTCAAAGTCAATGAGGGATACAGATTTTTCCCTTTGAAGAGCCACCGCAGCCCCTACTGGTGTCAAAATGGCATCTTTCTTCCACCAATTGCCAGGCACCCTTGGAAGAGGGAATGGAAAGAAAGAAACGTGCTTTTCTTTCTCTGCAGTTGAGGGTGCCCTGCCCCAATTTGGTCTCCAGGACAAACTCAGAGCCAGTGTGCTCCACAAGGTTCCCCATCCAGCAATATCAGCCGTGGTGCATCCTGCATTCACTTCACTCTCCAAGGTTAACGTGTCCTCCAGTTCTTGGCTGCGGGGGTCGTGTGTGGTGTCTGCGCTTGTGGTTACATGGAGGACTTTCTACACTGCTCCACGACATCCCCCTACCTTCTGTAGCATTTCCACTGCAAACTTCTGCCCAGCTCTCCCTTGGGAATGCACTTGTTCTGCTCTTTTTCTGCTATTTTCCCATCTTCTAAAGCAGTGTGTCTTCTCCATATTTAGCCATCTTGGAGACAGAGAGAATTCTTCCATCCACTGGTTCACTCCCCAAATGGCCACAATGGCTGCGGCTGCACAGATTCAAAGCCAGGAGCCAGGAGCTTCCTCTGGGTCTTCCACATGGGTGCAGGGGCCCAAACATCCTCTGCTGCTTTCCCAGGTGCACCTGCAGGGAGCGGATCAGAAATGGAGTAGCAGGGACTCGAACCAGTGCCCACAACACAGATGGTAGTTTTACCTGCCATGCCACGGGACTGGCCCCACTAACCCTAACCCTATATTTTTAAAATGCATATTTATTTATTTGAAATGTAGAGTGACACTGGGAGGAGGGGACAGAGAGATAGAGATCTTAAATCAACTGGTTTGATTTTTAAATGAACGCAACATGCAACATCCAGGTCTGTTCGAGAATGAAGCCAGGAGCTGGGAACTCCATCTGTGTCCCCCACACAGATGGCAGGAGCCCTGCCGTCTTCTCAGGAGAACTGGCAGGGATGTGTGCCAGCAGCAGAGCAGCAGGGGCTCCAACCAGTGAGTTGTGGGCCTCACACATGACGTCGTAAGTCACCATCAGCCCCTGAACAACTACTACTTGTTTGATCTAAGATTCAGAACATGGTTTTGTGTTTCTATTTGCTCTGCATTTAATATGGTTCACTAAAGTTTTTCTCTTCATATTTAAAATTTTCTGCTATTGTACTTTGTATTTTGTGTGTGTGAATGTTTGGTATAGTTCCATGTTCATTGTTCTACTGGCGTGTTCAGTCTGTAAGGGATCTTGCTGGCTCTCTGTTCACTTTCAGATAAAAGTAGGTTTTGCTGATTTATTACGTATTTTGCACATTGAATAAGAAGCATGGTGTTGGGCATACCTTGAGGACTGGTGACTCTTCTGCTTCACAATCCCTCAGGAGCCAGCTGCAGTAATTCCTTGCCGTAATGCCAATGTAAGCTCCTTCTCTGTTCACTGAACAGGTTTTCTGTGTATTTCTTTAAATCCAAAGCATACAATGATCATTTTCTAGTGGAACCCCCAGTTTCCACCTCTGTGCTTTGTGGGAGAAGGAGAGCCTGTCTCTATTCTTTAGGGGAAACAGAATCTGATATTGACAGCTTACCCACTGTCTATGCTTTCCCTAGTCTGTGCGTGTGGAGAGAGAAGGACATGGAGTAGCATCCACAGCCCATGAGGCCACAGTTGGGGTGTATGTGTGTGATGTGCTGAGTGGGCAGTCAGAGCAGGGGTGTGTGTGTGGTGGGAGTGGGCAGTCAGGGCAGGGTTGTATGTGTTTTGGGGGGAGTAGGCAGTCCTCACCTTAGTGATTTGGGCACACTGGCTTCCTGATGGACTTGTTCATCTGAAACCAGCACCTTTCTCAGGGCCGTTGTCCTGCCTGGACCTCCTGCCAATAATCTTATGGGATCCAGACTCTCCCCATTGTTGTCTCTCTCCAAATGTCACTTTGTCCACTGCCTTTGCCTGGCACCTCTCGAGGATATGACCCTCTAACACTTCTTCCTTCTGGTCACTTTCTCTAGAGAGCCTACCATGACCCAAAAGGACCTCAGATTATTTTTTTCTGTGCTTCTCTTCCAGTTCCATGGTCAGACTGTAGGGACTCTAGTTGTCCAGCATCTAATACTCATCTGATTGACTGCACTTGAGACATGGCTGGCACTAAATATATTGTTTCCAATGCATCTTACCTAAAGCTGTAGACCAATGACATGGTGGGCAAAATGCTGAGAGTGGATAAGAAAAATATAGAGCTGAAACAAGGGACCCACAAAAAACATAAATAATATAGCCTTTCAACAACATGAGTAAAACTCAAATGTGTGAACCTGAGTCATGTTATTTGTCTGTTTCCTGGTAGTGATGTCCTATACATGGAACCAGGCAATGAAACTCAACCTTCAGATTTTCTTCTCCTGGGATTCTCAGAAGACCCAACACTGCAGCCCCTCATATTTGGGCTCTTCCTCTCCATGTACCTGATCACTGTGGCTGGGAACCTGCTCATTGTCCTGGCCATCCTCTCAGACCCCCACCTCCACACGCCCATGTACTTCTTCCTCTCCAACTTGTCCTTGGTAGATGTCTGCTTCACCTCCACCACCGTCCCCAAGATGCTGGTGAACATCCAGACGCAGAGCCAAGCCATCAGCTATGCAGGCTGCATCACCCAGATGTTCTTCTTCCTACTTTTTGCAGGGCTGGACGACTTCCTCCTGACTGTGATGGCTTATGACAGGTTTGTGGCCATCTGTCACCCCCTGCACTACACAGTCATCATGAACCCTCAGTTCTGTGTGCAGCTGGTCCTGGTGTCCTGGGTAATCAGTGCTTTGCATTCCTTGTTGCAAAGCTTGATGGTGCTGCGACTGTCCTTCTGTACATACCTGGAAATCCCCCACTTCTTCTGTGAACTGAACCAGGTGGTCCACCATGCCTGCTCTGACACCTTTCTTAATGATGTGGTCATCTATGTTGTGGCTGTACTATTTGGCGGAGTTCCTCTCTCTGGGATCTTTTACTCCTACTCTAAGATCGTCTCCTCCATCCGTGCCATCTCCTCAGCTCAGGGGAAGTATAAAGCATTCTCCACCTGTGCCTCTCACCTCTCCGTTGTCTGCTTATTTTATTGCACCTGCCTAGGTGTGTACTTTAGTTCTGCTGTTACCCAAAACACACACTCAACTGCAACAGCCTCCATGATGTACACCGTGGTTACTCCCATGCTGAACCCCTTCATCTACAGCCTGAGGAACAAAGACATGAAGAGGGCTCTGGAAAGATTCTTTGGCAGACACTCTGTCACCAAGGCTGTTGAACCAGGACTGAAGAAGTCCCCATGAATGCTAGACTCAGGTACTTGGAATCACACACTCTGCAGCTTGGATCTGACTGTAGAACTTTCTCTTTGTATTTATTTCACGTGGTTTCCATTTCTCTGACATTCACTTCTCCATGCAATCCAAGTAATTCACTTCCTTAGGCTTTCTGCTCCTTCATTCTCCTTTATAGATGAGTAGTATTCCATAGTGTATAAATACTTTTTCTTCGGGCCGGCGCCTCAGCTCAGTAGGCTAATCCTCCGCCTTGCGGCACCGGCACACCAGGTTCTAGTCCCAGTTGGGGCGCCGGATTCTGTCCCGGTTGCTCCTCTTCCAGGCCAGCTCTCTGCTGTGGCCCGGGAGTGCAGCGGAGGATGGCCCAAGTCCTTGGGCCCTGCACCCCATGGGAGACCAGGATAAGTACCTGGCTCCTGCCATCGAATCAGCACGGTGCGCCGGCCGCGGCGGCCATTGGAGGGTGAACCAACGGCAGAGGAAGACCTTTCTCTCTGTCTCTCTCTCTCACTGTCCACTCTGTCTGTCAAAAAAAAATACTTTTCTTCATCCAGTCATCAGTCGATGGACATCTAGATTTATACCATATCTTATGATGATAAAATAAATTGAAATTCTGTTTCTGCATAAGTTAAAGAAAAAAGGAAGGAGGGGGGCTTGAGGGGGGAGAAAAGGAAAGAGAAAAGTATGATTATCTTCTTAGAATTATATCTATGAAATACATGAAATCTGCACTCTATCATAATAAAATTCAAAGATTTATAAAAGAATTTTGCATAATTTAGAAGGAAGAAAGTTATGGAAAGTCTGTATTTCACCTTCATTCAATAAATGAGAGCTTTACTGGTTACAGTATTATGGGTTCACAGTTTTTTTTCACTTAAGACTTTGACTATTCCGCCCCCCCCAAAAAAAAACAGGTACCATTTGTTTCTCTGATTTTTATTAACTAATAGAGTACCTAAAATGTTATGTATTGGAGTGAAATTGATATTTTGAGATTAAATTATTGTTCACAGTTCTTGTCTCTACTGTTAAGGAATAGTGTTTTTTTACCTCACACTATTTTTTGAACACTTTACTTAGTATAGGGTTAATCATCAAAATAAAATAAACTGAAAATTGATCTTTGTAAAAATTAACAGTGGGAATAGGAGAGGGAGGAGGAAGAAGGGTGGAGCATGGCAGGAGGGAGGTTAGGGTGTGAAGAATCACTGTGTTCCTAAACATATTTATAAGAAATACATAAAACTTGTAGACCTTAAATAAAACTTAGAAAAAGAAAAAAGGAAAAGGAATACTCCTGAAACACAGGCAATCAAAGCCTAAATAGACAAACAGTGTTTTATCAAACTGAGAAGCTTCTATACTGCAAAGGAAACACTCAGCAAAGTGAAGAGACAACCAACAGAATGGCAAACAAATTTGCAGTTTATGAAACTGATAAAGGATTAATATCAATTTATAAAGAACTCAAGAAACTCAACAAAACAAATCGTACAATGGGCAAAGGACAACAGACGCAGGAAAAAAAGCTCAGGATCACTAGCCATCAGGGAAATGCAATTCAAAACCACAATGAGATTTCACCTCACCCCAGTTAGAATATCACTTGTACAGAAGTCAACAAACAACAAATGCTGGCAAGGTTGCGGGGAAGACAGTACCCTAATCCACTGTTGGTGGGGATGTAAACTGGTGCAGCCACTGTGGAAGACAGTATGGAGATACCTCAGAAATCTGAATATAGACATACAATATGACCCAGCCATCACACTCTGGGAATTTACCCAAGGGAAATGAAATCAGCATAGGAAAGAGTTATCTGTACCTCATGTATTTTGCAGCTTAATTCACAATAACTAAGATGTTAATCTTAGTTATTAAATATTTATTCATTTATTTGAAAGTCATAGATACATAGAGAGAAGGAGAGGTGGGGGGGTGGTCTTCCATCAGCTGGTTCACCCAATTGGCCACAATGGCTGGAGCTGCACCAATCCTAAACCAGGAGCTTCTTCCAGATCTCCCATGTGAGTGCAGGGACCTGAGGACTTGTAGGCCTGCTTTCCCAGGCTAGCAGAGAGCTAGATCAGAAGTGGTGCAGCCAGGACTCAAACTGGCACCCATATGGGATGCCAGCACTGCAGGCACTGGCTTTACCTGCTACACCACAGCACCACCCCACCCTCCAAATGTTGCTAATGAAGACTGGATAAATAAATTGTGGTATATATACACTAGGAATAACACACACATGTAAAAAATGAAATCCTGTCATTTGCAACAAAATGAATGCAACTGAAAACCATTATCTTTAGTTAAATAAGCCATTCACAAAAAGAAAAATACCGTATGTTTTCCCTGATCTGTGGTAAAAATAAAATACCTAACAGGTAGTGTGCAGAGGTGAAAGTGACACTTTGAAATTCATTTATTTTGAACAGCACTTGTCTCAGCTGTTGAGAAACAGTGGTGTTTGTTCTTGGTATTATTTGCTGAACTCTTTAATTAGTGTAGGGTTAATCTTATGAGTGTAAAGTTAACTGAAAATAGATCTTTGTAAAAAATAAGAAATGAACTGGAAGAGGGGAGAGGAAAAAGGTTGGGAGTGAGGGCAGGAAGGAGGGAAGGGTAGGAAGCTTCACTATGGTCCTAAATCTGTATATATGAAATACATACAATTTATTTACCTTTAATTAGTTGTTACATTCATTATTAATTTTTAAAATTATTGTAAAGAGCAAATACAAAACAAAGGAGAAAATACATTTCATACTGTATATTATGTTGATCTGCCTCAGTGATAGCAACTGTGGAGTTTTCAGATGAAGAGACAGGACACAGGAGCATGCATTCTAAGAGCATGCCACCAGATAGCTTTGCACCAACAGTTTTTATTAGAGGGTACCAACAATTCTGCAAGCCACTGGGCACATAGGCAAGGTTATACATCAACTTCATGATTGGGAAAGTGAATCTTGTCTAGTAGTCCATGATAGAGAACAGAACAGTGATGTAAATCTTCAAAAACAGTCCCACCAGGTACCAATTAATGTCCATTAGTCTTCTGCTGCCTCCGCTGCCACATTCCTCTGGGAACAGGTGTGTCCATCCCCCTGCCGGTATTGGCAGAAAACAGAAACTGCAGCGGTGCCTCTAATCCCAGGGCAGTTTGCAGCTGGGAGAAACTTAGGCAGTGTCTTCTATAAGCAACTACTTCCCCCATCCATTTCTATCCAAAAACATCACATTGAAAGAAATTTTAATTACATATATGGTACAAATATAAAGACAGGATAAGGAAATGGAAATGTTGTTTGCCTGATTTGATCCATCTATTTTTTGAAAGATTTATTTATTTGAAAGGCAGAGTTACACAGAAAGAGAAGGAGAGGGAGAGAGAGCAAGAGAAAGTCTTCCATCTGCTGGTTCACTCCCCTGTTGTCAGCAATGGCCAGAGCTGTGCTTATCTGAATCCAGGAGCCAGGAGCTTCTTCTAGGTCTCCTACATGGGTGCAGGGTACCAAGGACTTGGGCCATCTTCTAATGCTCTCCCAAGCCACAGCAGAGAGCTGGATCAGAAGTGGAGAGGCTGAGACACAAAACAATGCCCATATGGGATGCCGGCACTGGAAGCAGTGGCTACCCAATATGTCACAGCACCAGCCCCTCAATCCATTTATGCTGTATACTTGTGTTGAAATATTTCACAATACTCCGTAAAAACACACAAATATTACATGTTAACCAACATAGTTATTTTTTATTTTTCTATTTTGTTAAATTTTCATTTTATTTGAAAGTTAGGAACCTGGAACTCAGTGCTGATACCTTGCGTGGGTGTCAGGGATCTGACTACTTCAATCATCACCACTGCCTCCTAGGATCTGAATTAACAGGAAGCTGGAGTCAGGATCTGAACCATGTACTCCACTATGGGCTAAGGGCACCTCAAGTGATGTTTTAACCTCTATGCCAAATGCCCAGGGCTGCCAGCCTCACCCCAAAGCAGTCATCCCCTCCCCAACACCTTTGACAGCTGCCACTGCACTTACTACTCAATGCTACTCAGTGCTTGTGAGAATGGGAAATTAACTCAAGGCAACTCTTTCAATGGCCCATTGAAAGGTAGAATACCTCTTCACTTACTCAACCTACCATTCTGAATTCTTTCTGATGATGTGAGGTTTTTTAAGATTATTTATTGACTTGAGAGGTATAATTAGAGACAGAGAGAGTCAGAGAGAGAGAGAGGTCCCCAGCCAGGGGACCTCCACCCAGCAGCACAGATGCAAAATGGATCATGAGATCATTAAGAAAACTGTCAGAGCAGGCACTGTGCACCAGCTCAACCAGGTCACAGAAGAAGTGGGGGATTTCCAGGTGTGTGCAGGACAGTCACAGTACCATTAAGCTTTGTAATAAGGCGTGCAGGGCAGTGGTGATCCAAGTGGCCAGAACCAGCAGCACACAGAACTGGGGGTTCATGATGACCATGTAGTGCAGAGGGGGACAGATGGCCACGAACTGGTCATAGGCCATCACGGCCAGAAGGAAGTTGTCCAACTCTACAAAAGGCAAGAAGAAGAACATCTGGGTGATGCAGCCTGCAGAGATGATGGCTTGGCTCTGCGTCTGGATGTTCACTAGAATCTTGGGGACAATGGTGGAGGTGAGAAAGATGTCAGAAAATGACAGGCTGTAGAGGAAGTGGTGGAGGTGAAGCAGACGTCCACCAAGGACAGGTTGGAGAGGAAGAAGTACATGGGCATGTGGAGGTGGGAGTCTGAGAGGATGTCCAGGACAATTAGCAAGTTCCCAGCCACAGTGACCAGGTACATGGAGAGGAAGAGCCCAAATATGAGGGGCTACAGCGCAGAGTCCTCTGAGAATCCCAGAAGAAGGAATGTGAAAATGTGTGTATCATTCCCTGATGCCTTTTTGTTGTGATGGTGTTGCTCCCCCTCTTCGTGGAGGAACGACACTAAACCCTGCGCTGTTCTTTTGTCTGCTTGGCCCTCCCCGGGTTTGCTGCTGGTTCTTCCCGGGTTGGCTACCGACCCTTCCACCTCCGTGGAAGGGCAGTTCCCCCTAGCCACTTTCCCCACTTCCGCGGGGGAGCGGCACACCGCCGGCCGGCTCTCTCGGGGGCTGCACAGGTGTTCCCTCAGATGTTCCTCAGTGCATGTTGTCTCTCTCCTCCTGTATAGTCCTCTTCCACCAATCCCAACTCTGCTACCCACACGCCGAGTACGCTGCTCTCCTCCAATCAGGAGCAGGTCCTGCTGCTTATTGGTTGAACTGGAGGCAGCTGTATAGAAGCTGTTTCCTCCTCTCCCAGCGCCATATTGTGGGAGAGCAGATGCATAAAATAAGTCTTAATTCGAGTAACAGTCTAGTCCCAGTTGCTCCCCACATGATGGCTTCCAAGAAAGAGAAAATATCATGGTTACTTTCTACACACTCACAGCTCACATTGGTGAATTTCTATCACTCGGATACTGCTCACATTGATTTCTTTATACTATGCTTGCATCTCTTCCCATTGATTACTCGCATCCCTGAAGAGGGTTTCTTTCCCACTTAGCATTGTCCCCTGATTGCATGTACATTTTCTACTCTTTTAGT